AAAATCAGAATCAGTAGAGAATCTGATGACTCTCAAACTGTACATCACACAGATAAGAATTATTTTCATTTAACATTTGTGTAAGGGCTGTGTTTATGTATGCAATGCATATATTTGTTAGTGTGAGTGTGTGTACTTGACTATGAAAGTGTGAATGTACATATATGTGCACATGCATGTGGGGCCAAAGGTGGACACTGTCTCTCATTAATCATTCTCCACCATTATACTTCCTTTCCACTCGCCACCACAGAGTCTCTTACTAACCAGATGCTCATAAATTTGTGCCAGGCTACAGGTCAACGAGTTTCAAGGATCTTCCTATCTTCATTAGCCAGTATGAGATTATCCGAATTCATTAAGCCAATCTTCCAACTCTATGGGATAAAAAATCTCCTCTTGCTAAAGCCATGAGGTATTAATTTTCAAGAAATCTCTCAAGAGATTATAATTAACATTAAAATGTAAGTCCAACTGCATTCAGAGTCATAGGGGTTTCCTTTCAGGTTCAAATAAAATGATGAGTCAATTTTATACACAATGCCATATTTCATTAATTTTTCTTAAATATTTAAGTTTTTGTGTGTGTATGTGTGTGTGTGTGTATTTGTGCGAGTGAATGCTTTATATTGCAGATATCTATAGACTAGGAGAGGGAATTGGATCTCTTGGAGCTAGAATTATAGGCAGTTGTTAGCTGTCCAGCGTGGGTGTTGGTAGCTGAACTTGGGTCCTCTGGTAGAACAGCAAGCCCTCACAATTGCTGCGACTTCTCTCCTGCCCTAATTACTCCATCAATCCTAAAATTCAGTTTCTGTTTACAACTTGCCGTCTCTAAAATATGACTGCCTGTCACAACTGATAGTCTCTTGTTATTATAACAAAAGCAAATGCTTTGTTATTTTTAGTTGTGCAAAGAGTAACTCAGATTTCCTAGTGCAGGGAGGCACAATGGATAATAGTATATAAAATCCTGTTTTTACATACTGTTCTTTTAAATCCTGGATCTCAGAAGAAATTGTGTTCATCCATGTCATGAGAAGCATCATGCTGGAAAAGAGACATATCATCCATTGTATGCATATTCACAGAGCTAATGAATGACTACTTAGTCTTTATGGGTTACAGAAGATGAAATGATGCATCTGGAGTTGTACCCTTTGAACACGGCAAATCATGTAAATGGCATGTGTGGGTGAGTAAGTAATGCTATTGGATACATTGGAAATAATCCAAAAGGCTCATTTCTAAATATAGCACATGTGTGCAAGAAACACATAAGGTGTTTTTTTTCAGTACTGCACCTTTTCTTTAAAACCATCAGCACATTAAGATAGTAAATTTTCATCAAATTTTGTCATACTTTGATCGACAAAGCTGTTTACATGCTGTAAAGCCTTCTGTGCCCTACAGAACACATATCATACTGTTGCTAGTATCTCTATCTCACAGGAAAGAGGCAGAGTTGTGGGGGCATAAAACCAGAAAGTCATATGAGTAATTGCTGAAGAGTGTGAACAAACAGAAGTTGTTTGCAACGCGAACTTGCTCGATGAAGGACATGTTAAATTAAAATGTACTCTAGACTAGCCTACAACTTGCTATGAATACACATAGGACGCTCTGCAAAACAGCTAAGTTGCACTTACAGTGGTCATAAGCAAAGAAGAGAAAGACAGTATGCCGTCAAATATTCTCGAATATGCTTATTGCAGATCTCTTAAGAGCTTATTTAACTCAGTAATACCTTACTTTCATTTTCTATCTCATGTGTACCTATTCAAAAGCATTTGGTTGGGAAAATTTTCTTTTTCTCCCTTCTACTCATGTGGATACTGTGTTTTGGTTCTTTGTAAGAGACATTATCCACAGCCTTTCTTTGACTTCATCTCTCCGGGAAGCACTGTGGGTTTCTACACTCCAAGCAACATCACACTGTTAAACAAAGGTGCCTCCTCATGACACCTGACAGCCTGTGTGCCTATCACTCAGTCTACACTGTCAGAACTGGGTATGCAGTCTCAACTGTCCTTGGGACACCTATGGAATGAACACTGTCTTGGACATTTGTGGCAGTATCTTACTTGTACAAACAAAACCTATCTGAGAATGGAGCTAGACCAATTAAGAACACCCTTTACAGACATTGAATTTTTATGCTTCTTGTTCCTAAGATGTTGCCAGAAAATACACTATTTCCTCATTCTAGTTTTCAACTAAAAAAACTGTGTGGATCGACAGTTGCTACTATCCATTAGTAGACACCAATTTTCCGTGAGAGTATTTGTAACTTGAAAGAAGACAAGACAGAGAAATCACTGGGAAAAGGAATAGACTGGTGAGTAAGAAATTACAAGCTCCACAGAGGCTGTAGAGTAAGAACTGGGGCGCTTTAGTACCCTAAGTTCCTCAATATTGTAAAGGTCTTTGGGATACTTGCAAAGTTGCATTGGAATAATTTATATAGTGTCGTGAAAACTTAACAAAATAGGAAAGATTCATGTTCATTTACTTACCACATTTTAACACACAAAATACTCCCACCACTAAATAATTAAGTACTGCACTATTGCTGCATAATAGCATCTTATCACAGTCTTTCACTCATTTCATTGAATTGCTAAATTGTGCAGTCTAGTGAATTAAGTTATATAATCCAAAATGGAAACAAATTTCAAAGATCATTAACTATCTTTGCTCAGTACTGTTTTGATTTTGACTATTTGTCTCTCATTTTGTACCATTTATTATTTTTCATATATAGATTTTTTTTGTTTGAGATGAGGTCTGACTGCATATTTCTGGCTGGCCCTGATGAACTTGCTATGTAGCTCAATGTGACCTGAAATTGTGATAATCTCCCTGTGGTTAGCCTCCTAAGAACTGAAATTCTATATGTGAGCCTCCATGACTGGGTTATATCCTATTATTTCTATAATTTTGCTTTGTAATTCAAATTATCAAACATGTCTGAAAATGCTCGCTGCATACCATAGTGAAGTGTACCAGGTGATTGGAGACCAGACATTTATACTGCAATAGATACAGAAAGAAAGTAGACTTTGAATTAAGATGTAACTTATATGTCTTTGGAACACTAAACAGGTAAGCACCCCCGCCCCAATCTACAATTAATAAACTATAGTTAAAAGAAGAGGCCCTATAATGTTTAGTCTGGGCTTCTACCTTAAGCATATTAGATTAGTCTAATTTTCTCTAGGTTAATTTTGTGAGTTTTCTTTGCAAAGATAATATTAACATTTGTGCTTTGACTATGAAAGACTAAGCTGGGCTTTCTGGGGGGGACATGCCTATAATTTTTTTTTTGTTTTATGAGACAGGGTTTCTCTGTATTGTTTTGGAGGCTGTCGGTCCAGCCTGGCCTCGAACTCACAGAGATCTGCCTGCCTCTGACTCCCGAGTGCTGGGATTAAACGCGTGCACCACCACCGCCCGGTGGCATTCCTATAATTATTTAATTTTTATTTCCTTAACAAATTTTAACATGCAAGATACCCCCTTTTGGGTATTCTAATGCTGGAAGATCCAGAGTTCAAAGTATGTCTCAGCTACACAGTGAGTTTGAGTCCAGCCTGGGTTATATGAGACCCTAAATCAAAAAAACAAGGAAAAATTGTTATTGCCTGTTAAATTAAGAAAGAACAAATATTTGTGTTCAAAACAAAGCTTTTCCAACAATAGGATTTTCTTTTTATTTTTCCTAATACACAGGACATATTTTATGCTTATGGAATTTCAATGATTTTATAATTAAAAGATAAACATTCTGAATATTTCCTAGCCCTTTGAGTTTAGTTCAAATATAACCTAATCAGTGATAAATCATACTATATATTTTTATTGAGCCCAGACTTACAGCTTATCTCATTCATATTGAAGATACAAAGACATGGATGGGCAGCCTTACCATAAACAAGGTTACAGTTTCTTCAGGGAAATAAAAATAAATAAAATGAAGGAATAACTTTCTCATATCTTAGAAAATAAAAAAATTGATTAGATCTATAAAAGACTATTAAATTGAAATGGCTCATGGAGAATTCAGAGTAATTTAACATATAGTGAAGGAACCATTGAAAGGGAGTTGATTTTTAAACACAATTAATGGGTTCAAATGTTAATTATATCTCTATTTCTTAATGCTCAAGGGTTTACTTGGAGGCATAATGGTGGAGATAGAAAAAAATTAAACTGAATAGACAGTAGTGACTTGTGCTAGTTCAGAAGTCCACTTACACTTGACTTTCAATGATCATTGTGGGACAGTGTATTTGTTTCCTTGGGAAGACTCACCTTGTGGGCAGGTGATAAGACGTTTTCCTGAATAAGGTGAGTATTTTCAATCTGTGACCATTGCAGCATCAAGGAAGCTGCTATTATTTCATGTCTCATACAGAAGCCTAGGTACTGCACCATATCTTAATTCTTAAATCACATGCATTCAGGAAAGATCTTAGTGTATACTAGTTTATCACAATGATATAAATGATCTCTCACAAAGGATGTAAGCATGAACACAATCTTGATGGTCTAATTATGCTCACTGGGGTGGTGAGTCTGCAAAAGCTTCTTAATTGTGAAAGAAACAATGACACTTTCATTTTAATTATCATTCTAAACATCATTTTTCTTGGTTTTCTAAGTTAATTGCTTATTGATAGCAGAAAATTTCCCCAAACACTAATAGAGTATTTAACATAATTTCATTTATTGAAAAAAATTCAAAGGAAAATAACAGACAGCTATCTGAAACTATTTGGAAGAAGGAATATATCAAAATGTAAATTAAGTCTAAACTTTATGGTCTCCAATGTAATTCATATTTCATATAAATTTAACACAATGCATATTTTATTAAACTTATACATTTAAATATACTGGTAAGACTCAAGAAATAAAAATGACAGCCTGGAAAGCCAGGGTGACAATGAAGAGCCACACAAAAACAAGCAAAACTACCAAGCTCATCCCTACTCATCGACTTTCCCATCGTTTTATTGAAAAATAAGAATACATTTCAGAGCAACTCATGGAAAATTAGTACAATCGAAAATTAAATTCAATCCGTTGTAAATATATCCTTGAGAAAACTATTGCAGTTTATACCCAGAGTTTAACCTCAGCCCTACTCCAGATTTTGGATTCCAGTTTGAGATTCTCACATGGGTTTAGTGTAGTGTAATCACTACTCATAAATTTATTAAGCTTGAAATGAGCATGTGCTCAAAAGTAATCCATATAGAAATGTGTGGACACTTTATCCTTCTTATCTCTCACTTCTGTTTCCAAGCAGACATTAACCCATTAGGGACTATTCCTGGCTGACATACTTCACACTATGGTGTGAGGCTTTTATATCCGTCTTCGCTCGTGTAATAATAACACACACAATTCAATGTATATATACTAGGAATATTCAGCCAACTTTTTATATTAGCTTTGAAAAACATCAATTTTGTAGTAGCTTTTCTCCTAAGACAGAGTAGAAAATGACATACATTTCTTTCCAAAAATAACACTAAGAAAATGAATTTAATGGGTTAGCCACAAAGGGAACGTTGTAGGAAAAGAAATAGCTTGGGACTGAACCCTATAATTTTATTGTTTTCACAGAAAATGCAATAACTCCTCATTGACATCAACTGCCCAGTTGCAAGAAGAGTGTACCTTCTGCTTTGTCGAGACCCAGGTGAAACAGTGGAAGTAGTCATCGGCCAGAATTTTTTTTTTTGCGGGAGGGCGGGGAGGTAAATTTTTTCCAGTTTAAATGTCTATCGAGTGGCCCTGGTATTTGAAAGGCACATTACAAAACAACAACAACAATAAAAACAACAAAACAAAGCAAAACACAAGGTTTTGTGATAAAGAACACATATTTAGGAGAATCATTTGAAAAGTTTACAAAAATCAGATCAGTCTGTCACCAACTTTAAAATTACCAATAAAAACATAAAATTGAAATGATTATGAAAAATAATCATTTTATTTTTTTAAGTTTATAGTCTTAAGCACAGAACTAAATGGATTAATTATTCTTTAAATTACACATTTTGTTGGCAGATAAGTTTATTATTATAAAGTACTTAAAATAAAATTGCCTGTTTGGTGAAAAATTAGTACAGCTGTACTTTATATTTTGAAGTATGAAAGTATAGAATGGAATTATTTTCATTGTATATACATGGTATAACAGATTATCTAGGTTCTAATTCAGATACTATTCATTGCTCTTTCAAGTCAGTTCTGAGGGAAATGTGAAATAAAGGACTATTAGTGGCAAGGTCCACTGCCTGACATTGTAACTATGTATCTGTCAGTTCTCTTAAGGAAATGTAATCATGGGCCAGACTCCTGATCTGTTGGCTACAACAAGCCACACGGAACCAGGGATCATAGTAGGTTAGGAATACCTGTAATCCATGAACCTGTAAGAACAGATGACAGGAAAACAGGAAATGGAAAAGCAAGTGTAGGATGAACAGAAGCATCTAAGAAAAATGATTTTCTTAAGAAGCGAAAGAAATTAGGCTATAAACTGCATAGTCCATTGCCAGTTATACAACCTATAATTGTGATTTGGTTGCATCTTTTCTCACTTTTAGGTTTGAAGGAAAGAAGATCATATTTGGCATTATCTGGCACTTCTGGCAACTTTAGTGAATGTGGTGACTATTCATATTCAGGTCCTCTCAGCTCCTGTGTGAACCTTCATATCACTACATGGAATTACTGCTAATTGTAATCAAAATAGGCCCAATTGTAGCAATGTTAACATGTAAAGAAACGTCTCTGAACTGATGAACGGGGTACTGCTTCTGATTAATGGAGATCAATTACTGTCAATAATTGGAGATTACATGGTATGTTGTTTCTCCCATAAAACAAAAAACCTGATTGCTAGATGCTTCCCCAATTAAAAAACAACCATCAACTCAACTGGCTTCTCTCCATTGTAGGGCAGACACACTGTCAAAATGGTAAGGAGAAGGTGTTATTGAGTCCTGTTTCTGATAGACATAGCAATGTTAGGAATGCGAATGTCACCAATAATGTCTTAAGGGTTTCGCGATCATTAGTTCTATTAAAGACAAGGTGATGTCACAAAATTCCCAGTTCATTTACCCAAATCATTTTAAAGTATCCACATTTTTAGCCACTTTTTTTTCAGTTACAACAATTGAGCATTTGATCTGAAGACAAAACACTGATTCCGTTTGTTGGCTTGTCTGGATAATGTGAGAAATCCCTTTTACCATCTCAGACCTCCGTCTGCTTTCACCTCTGATTGCCCCCTGTTCTTCGCAGTCATCTGCAACATCTTAGAAGTTTAAACAAAGTGAATTTTGAAGTACCAGCCAGTTCTCATGAACTTCAGAAGTGTGTTTTCTTACAATGTGAAAGTTGAGGGAAGGTAAATGCTTAATGATACAATTGAAACTTTTACTTACAGCAATTTGTTGGCTCGGGATAACTTAGAAACAAAAAACCTTGTTATTTTTCTTGAAAGAATATGTATGTTTTCAAATAATTTAAATTTTGGGGTCTTTTAAGTTTATTTGCAAAAGTGTCACTCAATCAACATAAAGATAATTGAAAGAAGATGACAAATCAAGCCTTTCTTTAAATCTAAAGATCCTATTGGTGTCCTGGTCAAGAAAATGCAAAAAAAAAAAGCATAACAAAATAAAATAATTGTGTTTTACTAATCTTGGATCATGAAGAGATGTGGTTAGTTGTTGCTCTACAGTGGAAATACAAGCAAATGCAGATTTTTCAGGTGCTAAGTGCCCCAGATATTACTTATGTGAAATCTTTGGTTTGATAGAATAGATTGATCACTTTGAACTTTTGAAAATATTTTCAATATGACTAATTAATTCAGATAAATTATGACAATCATTTGTTTCTTCTGTTCAATTTAAAGGATGTGGGTTAGCTTGATTCTGTCACTACCTAGGTTTTCTGACATGTTCCCTTTTGAACTGACTATGAAATTATATATTAAATTGCAACTTGTATTTGGTTCATATTTTACCTATTGAGGTACAACATTTTTTACATGTGTTACAGATAAAGGAGAGTGCATAGGGTGTTTCTATTAAAATTCCTTCCTGAAGACATTAATTGTGTATGAATTACTGAAGATTTATCCCGAGATAACATAACCAGTAAACTGCAGAACTAATCTCATTTTAGTGATAACTGAATATTGCCCAACAAACACACATACTGCTTATCATACCTTACCTGGAAAGAGGCTTTATTGAACAGAGCTGTAAAATTATATTTTAAGTTGAATTATTGAATTTGCACAAACATTTCTACAGTTCTTTAAAAAATCAAGCTTTGTTATTTTCTACTACATTTTGTTGTGCTTTTTAATATTAATATTTGCAATACTGCAATTTAATACTTAGATCCCAATTACTTGCATAATCATTTTTTTTAAATCCTGGGGAGTGGAAATAAAAGATAATAATATTCTTCTTTAGACAAAAGTCTTTTTAAATGAAGTTAAAAGCTGAGATAATTTAAGGAAAAAGATCTTCAAATTTTCATAACCAACAGGTGTAAGTGAAATTTACAATGCATTGGAAAACTGGCTGGTTAAAGGTATGGTTTGTCCTCAGGTAGCTCAAAATCATTTTTACAGGTTTTTGTTTTTTTGTAAAAGTGTTTTTTTAATCTTGTTAAAATAATAAAATAATATTTCACAATTTGCACAGAGTCTGACTAAAGGGCAGAGGCATATTACCCTCAGAGTTTAGAATAAAGCCAGATTTTTTTTCAGGCCCAGTTCCGCGCCAGAGTTCGTCCGCACGGCAATCTCAAACATTTCCTTGTTCTTTCTAAAGGCAGGGCCAGTTTCATCTCAGATGGAGGTTAGAGTAAAAAAAAAATCACTTTTGTGTTTTACCACCTTCTGCGCTAAGTATTATCTCAACAACCTTTTGCTCTGGTTGACCCATTTAATAACCTGGAAGAAAAAGTGTTGCTCCCATGTCTGGTCTCAGTGGAAGTTACATAAGCCGAAAGGCCATGGCTGTCTAGGAGGTGAAACAAATGTCTTGTCTGCATGGGCTTACGCAGCAGAGGGTCGTTTCTTCTTCAGAAGCGGCTGGGGAGTCTTGCCTGTTAATTTGCACATTTAGGCTGTGTCGTCTGTTTACAAAATAGTTTTACACAAACCATTGTTAGCAGTGCAAGCTTCTGAGTTGAAAATTTATTCAGGCTTGTTTCATTGAAGGCACTTGGTTTCCATGGCAATTTATAAAAGATGGTGGTTTGGTTTCTTCATAGGAACAGATGACGTAGTTTGGGTGTTCAAGTGGCCGCAAGCAAACTCCGATAAGCCTGTGTAATATGTAAGCCCAGGTTTACTGTCCTGGATAGTAGTGCATGCAAAAAGAGACATCATACAGTTATCTAGCTTAGCCATGGGAGGGAGAAAAAGAAAAAAGAAAAAACAAAAAGCAAAAAACAAGGACCAGTAACAACAACAAAACCAAACAACAGTAAAGTGGGGTTGGGGGAGGGTGGGGAGGAACACGAAACCTTTAAATAATTCTGAGTTTGGATTATTTTCAATGAAGGGTAACAGCCAAAGGTAAAAGGGCCTACATTTATTTAATTCTCTACATAAAACCTTCTTGAAAGGAAAATAAATGCCAGCTCTCCACGTACCCTGTTTACAGTGAGGTTTTTGTTGGCAGGCCATTAGGTTTCCATGGTAACAAGCAAACTATTCATTTGAAACAAAACCAGCCATGACTTTGTGCTTTGACGAGGATTTCTATAGCTCTTTTTTTCTTCTTTTTCTTTCCTTTTTTTTTCTTTTCTTTTTTCCAGAGTTCAACCAGATGAAGCTGTAATCATTTTAGCCACAAAAGCACCTGAAGGTCTCTTCCGTACCCAGGCCAAGATTATCTTCTATATGTAGTTTGGAATAAGTTATATTTCCATGATGTCTTTTTATCCCCAGTGCTTAAAAAATGTTGTTTTTATTATTTAATTTTTGAGTCAGTAGTCAGTGGAGGAATCTTTGGTAGTTTGTTTTTTGTTTTTGTTTTTTTCTGTGTCCATTTACAAAGACTCTTTCTTCATGCCAGTGCCTGGTGAATTATGGATAGCCTCTGCCAGGATAAGGTCACCTTCGAGGGCTTAGGATCGAGATGAGGATGATGACTGGAAAAAGCCATAAATGAACTAAGATCCCAACAGCACCATCCACGGAATCTAGAAATAAAGAAGATAAGTGTCCAGAACTGACATTAAGGACATAAACATTCCATGTAGTAAATCATACAGCCTCATATAGCTTTTTTGAACTAATAATTTCAATACATAGAAAATACTTTTGGAAAAAATAGGTTTTTACATTACACATCAGCTTTATTTCAGCCTGGGTATTAGTTACATGTATCGCAGACACATATTACTCTTTATTTACTAATCTGAAAACCTGGAAGTAGAACATTCTAGACTGACACTGAAGCATGGTTGGCTTTCACGGTTGTTTCCCAGTGACTAGTCTCATTACTTCTGATTTCCCTTCCTGTTTTCCCCATTTGGAAAGTTTAATTCAACTTATCAAATCTAATTTATTTTATTTTGATAAAAAATGTAAAACTGGTAATGCAATATGGATATGACCTTCATTTGGTGTAACGTTAGTATCATTGTGCAATGTTCTGAAAGCAAAAAGAAACCCACACTCTCTGAAGAGAATGCATGTGTTTTGCCTGTGTTCTGGCAAATTTGGCTCATGTGGGTGCAGCAGAATCTTTTCTGAAGGGAAAATCCAGGCAGTTTTTACTATGTGTCTTTTAAATATTAAGCTTCATAACAAGCAACCACAGCCTATTGGTTTTTGTTCTTTACAATGCTAAATAGTAGAGTTAATTCGGTACATTAAGCTGCAACTGCGTAGTTGCCTTCCAATATCTAGACTGAAACAATTTTTCCATAAATATGCTGAGTTAAAAAGGCTTTGGTGCACTCCAGACTATTACAACATACAGTTTCAAACATTTGAATATGCTACATCATTGATGAGTTATTTGTGTAAATTTAGCTTGATTAGTCATTCATTGTGTGCCTATAGAATTAAAATTTCCAAACAGGTCTAAGAAAATCCTGTAGTTGAAATGCATTCCAAAAATGATTCTCAATACAGGCTTCAGATGAATAATATTAGATGAAGATTTAGGAACCAAGTCAATGCATACTTCTAGTACTATTTTAACCATTTGGAGTTAAAAACAGCTTGGCTATATAAGTGAGTATTACGTTTATATATTTGCCAAGTATTTTAATGAAAGTTTTCAAACCCTGACAAAATAGCATAAATAAATATATTTTTAAATCTGTTTTTAAAATTACACGGCATTAGTCTTACCCAGAATTAAGTAGAAATTCCTATCATTTTATGTTACTGCAAATGTGGCAACAATGACATTTAATCATTTGATTTAAGTATACTTTGGATGATTTAGGGTCAGAAATAAGAAAGCTTTAACTAAAACAAACTTTTGAATGAAATAGAAGCATGCAACTGTAGTAGTTGTTATGTCACTTCCACATCATATAAAGTGACACTCAACAGTGGAGACACTTACTCTTAGTTGTTAGGTCTTGTTTTGCACATTCTCCTTCAGCTATTGACACATCATCAATGGCGATATCACCTTCTATTCCAGGACCTCGAATGCCTTCAAAAATTAGCTACAAATATGATAGATTTTATTAGAGTGGTTGTTGTTTTGCAGAAATATATTCCCTTAGTATCCTCTAAGCACACAGCACAACTCTTCCAGAAGTATGTTAAGGAATGAATCAGTAATATTCATTCTCTCTCTCTCTCTCTCTCTCTCTCTCTCTCTCTCTCTCTCTCTCTCTCTCTCTCTCTCTCTGTCTCTCTCTCTCACTCTCTCTGTCCCATATGGGAACACATTCATGCTATGCAGGTACATAGCACAGGTTTCTTGTGCTTTTTATACTCACTCCTTGACTGCCTGCCTTGGTTTTATTTTGAAATTCTATGTTTAAAACTCGATGATATTTATGAGTACAAACTCATAAATTTGAATCTAGTGAAAAGTCTTTTAATTTCCAGTATTTACAGTAGTCAAGAATGAAAGCTCAATAAATGAATATTGGGAAAATAGATAAGTGATATGAAATAAATTCATAAATTCCAGCTATTATAACAAAATAATGACTAGATAAATTTAATTATTTACTATTGAAGGAGACAAGACTTTTTTTTTTTGGTTTTTTGAGACAGGGTTTCTCTGTGGCTTTGGAGGCTGTCCTGGTACTAGCTCTTGTAGACCAGGCTGGTCTCTGCCCTCCGAGTGCTGGGATTAAAGGCGTGAGCCACCAATGTCCGGCAAGACAAGACCTTTTGAATTATCTTATTAGTCCTCAGGCCCTCTCTTTTTTCCAAAGGGAAGAAAGATACTTTAGGTACCAAAACATAACCAATGTATTTAGTTTTTTATATCCTTAAAATTTTAAAATAAACTATTAATTGATCTTTCCAAATAAACAATAATTCAATAAATAACTCTAGTGTAAGATAATACAGTTGCATGCATTTTATTAAATAATGTTATTTAAGTATTATTTGAAAGTGAAAATGTACTTTGAGCAGCAAGAAAGGTTTGTCTTTTGGTTCATCTTTGAAAAAAATTAATTGAAGATAAGATTATTCTTAGAGTGTTTATGCCACCTGTGCAAAGTTGGTCAATATTTCTCGGTATGCTATGATAATTTTTGCCAATGAAAATCTCTAGTTTTTAATCCAAGACATTAGTTTTCAAGATTTTTCTTAATTCCCCATCCTTAACTTAGAGGCAGCCTGGTAAACAGTCTTTACAATTTAGTAAAGGAAATATTTTAAGAAGTCTTAATTAAAAGATTTAGTTTTAAAATACAGTTTCCTCTTTATCCTTATTATTTACTTATGATAATTAAGACTGCACAAAACCATCTCTGGAAAAGCATCTCAAATAACCTGAATCACTGAAGAGAAAGCAAGATGACAGGCTAAAGTTCAAACACTCAGAACCAAGTTTTCAGTTTAAGAATTTTGAGTCTTCAAATCAAAGGGCAGAAAATGCTAATTTCTATGCTTGAAATAAGACTCTGTTGATGTTAGATTGTTAAGTATGAAACTATCTGGGAGATATCTTCAAAGAGGCGAAGATATAAGTATTTTGTGTGACCTTTGATACAACTCTTAACGGATATGGTAATGATAGAATAAATCAAAATTTCCTCAACCACACCTCTCTTTCATTATGGATGCTGACTCTTTGCTGATGATAACAGGAACAAGGTGCCATCCTAAATCAGCTCTGAGAGTCTTCTTGAGTATTAGTTTAGTTCCACACAAGCAAACATGTTCTACTTTGATAAAGGAGTTATGTTTGTTGGATTAAGGTACTGTGCTGTCATGATTTCTATTTTATGTATTATAAATACTTGAATAGAGTGTTACATAGATTTTTGTTTGTCAGAAACAGAGAAGTGTTCTATCTGGGGAATTTTGATATAATAATTAACTACCCATAATTGTCTCTAGACTTTTCTTGCAGGATTACTCATAATTTAACTTTGAATGGGCTGTGATAGGAAGTAGGAAGAGAAGGTCAGCTAATAATGTTTATGGAGGAAGATACAGGGCTTGCAATGCAGCTATAAAGAAGACAAGGAAACTGCATTCCTATATGCTTTGTATGATGAAATGATGTGAGAGAGAAAAGTTCACCGCGGTTTAGGTAAGATGCTCTACATGTGGGATTTAACTCCGAAGCTGGAATCACTTGAGATTTAAACACTGGAAGTTGGAATCAAAGTTTTCATCGAAAAGAATGTACGAGCAACAGTCTTAGTAGCATTCAGGTTCTCTTAACTCATGAAAGTGAATAGTTTCATGATACCAACAAATTTTCCTTAAATTATACAATTATGTTCACTTAGTAAATTCTCATTGTCTGTAGTCAGGAGTCAATATAAGCCAATATCTTTATACTTAAAAATAAAAGCAAACAGATTATCAAAATCTGTGAGCTCTTTGCAGCTGCTTCCCTGGGATGCCACGTTTTAATTTTAATGGTCCATCACTCTAAAAGTCTCTGTAGTCGTTGTAATACTGATGTCTCTTGTAATACTGATGGATCCTACTGGTTCAATTATTTTGATAATTATTAATTTCTTCTTCTCTTCTTCTCACCTTCCTCTGTAGCTGGATCAGAGTTGCAAAGTCAGATCTACGCTTACATTGAAGATATAATTCTTGAATCAGGAGAGATGTGAAAGACACCTCTTTTTTTGGGGGATTGCAAGGGAGTTACGGGAGAAATTAGAAATTATCTAAAATAATTTAAAATGTGTTCTACCTGCACACTGGCAAGGTGTTGCATTACATGTTTAATTTACAAAGCAACAAAAACAGAACCACCCTTTACCTAGAGGGCTTTCTATACCTAGAGGATCATTTCATTCCATAAAGATATTGAATTTGTTGGATGGTAATAAAAGTTGGATAATTTGAAGATTTGTTAGTTTCACTGACTTTTATAACCACTAATAACACCGTTGAACATTAAGTTGATTTTTTCTACAGAAACCTAGCATGAGCACTAGATAGTCTGTAGAATTCAATCAGGGAATTAGCTGTCATTTATTGGTGAGATAAAAATACTTTCTGACAATATTCTTGTTATACAGGAAGTGTTTTTAATACTTATTTGTAATATGTAATTATTGGAAATCGAATCCAGTGGGGCAGAGAGATACTGTAGTATCATAAAGCTCCTCTAGGGCATGATTGCTAGATTATTTTTGTTTCTAAGATTACAATACTATTACAACATTTCTTTTCTTTTCTCTCTTCAAACCTTCTCATATACTCCTCTCTATTATTCTTCATATTCATGTTTTCTTCTTTCAATAACTGTTTTTGAACACACACACACAGACACAGACACACACACACACACACACATTCCTAAATATAGCCTGCTCAGTGTGCCATAATGTTATTCGTATGTGTGTTTTAAGGACTGTTCATTTGTCCTTGGGCAACAAATTTATATGATTGTCACAGAGAAGACCACTACTCCTGCTCCTCAGTTTCGGGCAGTTTTTTGTGTAGGAGTGAAACTTTCTGGCCTTTCCTTCATCCACTTAGCCATATCCACTGGCATTGTCCTAGCTGCTTGTTTTAATTTTTATTGTAGTTTGCCACTGAAAAGACATGGACTGTTTTTGAACTGTTTGGTTTTCACAAGAATCATTTATCACACTGTTCTACTTATACACTCAAGTCTAACTTAAAATTAAAATATGTAGATCATAGTAGATTTACTAATGACATCAAGTCAAGATCTTGAAGATAGATATATTTTCTAAGAAAAGGTGGATTACAGAAGTAAAAGTTTAGATGTTCAATTCAAATAATATGTCATGTTTGAAAGTTCAAGCATTTAAAAAACATGTCTTTGCAGGTAACTTTCATGTATGTAACAGAGACACTAATGAAACACTGAATTTTATGTATTTTAACTTGGAAGATATGAACGAATTGCAATGTACTCAAGCAATTATATTTACTTTGAGCAAAAAAGGATCTGTGTTTAAAAACCTGTAATGCTGCATTTTTGTGGCCTCATTATTATTCTTTTCTGACTGCTATTTCATCACAATGTTAAACATATTTTTTATTGTGTACTTTTGTGCTGAATTTTGTTTAATGTATTTGAAGGAGTTAATGGCATGTAGCTATCAGGAGAAGTGTCAAAGCTTAGCTTTTCCTGAAAAAGAAAGTTATGTAAAACTTGCTCTTCGTGTGTGACCATGTCGACATTATTTAAACTATTTCCCTCAATGGAAAAGACAATTTTAACTTTTAAATGTTTCCATATTTTCTGCATTTAATACAGAGAAGTAGGGCTCAACTCTCAGCCCTCACATGACAACTTACAACCTTCTGCAATTCCAGTTCCATGGGATCCTATGCACTCTTCTGGCCTCCACTGGCAGAAGGTACACATAGGGTGAACAGACATGCATGCAGGCAAAGCACCCACACACTTAAAATATTTTTGATTAAATAAAGCATATTAACTCTTGGTGGATAACTTCAATGGGGTTTTAGAATGACGTAGGGGGGGTTCTTCATTAAAATGACATGACACTCACATTTGTTTCAAGTAATAGATTAACAGTTTCTGATGAACACAATTCTTATAAAGCATACGCATTTGACAACATAGAGGCAGATAGATAAAACCATTAGAGTTGTGTTTAAATGCCATTTCTCAGTAAGTAAAGAAGAGCTATGTGTAGAGCTAATGAATACAAGCCATTAAAGGATCAAATATTACAATATCATCATATATTGACTTCACTATACAAGGTAGTTTTTGCAAATTTTCACAAGGTTTTTCTTTCTGACAAGAGAAAGATTCTTCTGAATATTGCCATGGAGGGAAATGTAGAAGTTTAAGACTGTAGTTTGAGAAATGACTATCAATATCACTCAAAAATCTCATGATATTAATAGACTTATCTACAATTAATAAAGATATTTATTTTATTTGTTTAATAAATTAACTGAATGTTGCTCAGCCTTTATAAAGGATAGGTGATGGCTGGACAAGCGACCAATCTATCAATGTAGCAGAACATCATTAGGAATCATTTTGCTACTACAT